GGACAGGCCCGACTTAAGACTAACTTCTGAGACCTGCTGGGCCTGGAGAGGACGTGTCCGGCGACGCGACCGCTCCAGAGCGATCCTGAATGCTCAGGAGAGCGTCATCAGATCGCTCCGGAACGAGTGACCTTCGTCCCAGGCCTGCCTGGTCCGCCCACTCCCCTTTTCCTCTTCTTCCAGTTTTCCAATTTTCCAGTTTCATCCTAGGTCCCATGCAAGCACAGGCCCAGGTTTCAAACAAAAGAAGACACTACAGGGAGGAAAGAGGCTGAGGCGGCCCAAGGCGAAGGGCCGATCCAGGAAGCTCCCCCTTCTGTAGTTTACGTAGCTCTCCGAGCTTTTTGAGCATCAGCATCAGCATCAGCATCATCATCATCATCATCATCATCATCATCATCATCAGCATCATCATCATCAAGCATCTATCATCATCATCAGCCAGAATCAGCATCAAGCATCAGCATCAGCTCAGGCATCATCATACACCACCACCCACTCTACACCACCACCTTTCACCATCACCATCACAATCAACATCATCATCATTCTTATCATCATCATCATCAATCATCTCATCATCTCATCATATGATCATCATCATCATATCATCATCATCTGCATCTGCATCAGCTTCAGCATCATATTGCATCTTCAGCATCTCTGCATCATCATCTATCATCCATCATCATCAGCATCATCAGCATCAATCATCATACATCACTTAACATTCAGCATCATCAGCTTCTTCACATCATCATCATCATCATCATCTCATCTTCATCATCATATTCATCTTCGTCATGTCATCATCATTCAGCATCAACATCTATCATCACATCATCAGCAGCATTATCATCATCGTCATCACCATCATCATCTTCATCATCACCATCACAATCATCACGACCATCATCATCATCATCATCATCATCATCATCATCATCATCATCATCATCATCATCGTGAGCATCATCATCATCATCACCATAACCATCCCCATCACCGTCACCATGATCTGCAGCATCACCATAATCATCAGCATATCATCGTCATCGTCATCGTCATCGTCATCGTCATCATCATCATCATCATCATCATCATCATCGGCATCGTCATCATCATCGTCGTCATCATCATCACCATGACCATACTCATCATCGGCATCATTATCATCATCGTCGTCATCATCATCGTCAGCATCAGCATCAGCATCATCATCATCAGCATCATCACCAGCATCAGCATCATCATCATCATCATCATCATCATCATCATCATCATCATCATCATCATCACCGTCATCGTCATCACCATCATCATCATCCCGCGCCTACCCTTGGGGGTGTCCCGAAGATGAGGGGCGTCCCCCATAGGCAGCTCCCACGTCTGCCCCGAGAGGCTGACAGCTGGCGGCCAACTCGTACGCCTGGCAGCCGAATCAACTATCCCCGTCCATCTGGACGTGAGGAGGAGGAGGAGGAGGAGGAGGAGGAGGAGGAGGAGGAGGAGGAGGAGGAGGAGGAGGAGACAAAGGGGAGGAGGATGATGAAAAGGGGAGGAGGAGGAGGAGGAGGAAGAGGAGGTGGAGGAGGAGGAGGAGGAGGAGGAGGAGGAGGAAGAGGAGGAGGAGGAGGAGGAGGAGGAGGAGGAGGTGGGGAGGAGGGAGGCAGTAGGAGGAGACAGAGGAGGGGACAGAGGATGATTACAGAGAAGAGACAGAGGAGGAGACAGAGGAGGAGGAGGAGGAAGGAGGTGGAGGAGGAGGAGGAGGAGGAGGAGGAAGGAGGAGGAGAGGCAGAGGGGGACAGAGGAGGGGACTGAGGAGATGACAGAGGATGAGACAGAGGAGGAGGAGAGGAGGAGGAGGAGGAGGAGGAGGAGAGGTAGGAGGAGGAGGAGGAGGAGGAGGAGGAACAGGAAGATGCGGAGGAGGTGGAGGAGGATCCCAGAGTGACCTTTGGTGCGCGGCCGTGCCGCGGGGGAGGCCAAATCCAAGCAACCCGACCGCGCCAACCGATGCTGGGGGCACCCGCGTGGGCCCGCACAGAGGGCCACTCTGGCGCAGGCTCACTCCTACGCGCACCCGAATATCCCCCCCCCCTCTTCCCCCCCCTGCCCCCTGCCCCCCCCCCCCCCCGCCAGGGGGGTGAGGCAGGTGGGGGAGCGGAATAACCAGAAAGCAAACGACACCACCCCACCTGCGGCCCCACAGGGCTCAGCGTATACCAGGAAATCTGGCGCGGATTTTTGTGTGGTGCGCGCTGCGGCCCCTGGTGGGCCGTGGCACAACATGGAGGGCCGTAGGTGGGGTGGTGTCGTTTGTAGGACAACGCCCCGCGTTCCTTCCTCTCCTCCTCGTCCCCTCCTCCCTCCTCCCATCCCTGCCTCTGCCTTCTGCGTGTCAGAGTGCACCACTTCGGCACACCGCTCACTGTTCGTGGCCCCATAGGGAGCTCCACCGAAAGCCCCAGTGGCAACGTTCGCATGCGTCCCCCGCCGATCTCGGCACACCCCTCACACGGTTCGTGCCCCCCATAGGGAGCTCCACAGAAGGCCCCAGTAGCAGCGTTCACATGCGTCCCGCTCCACCCTTCCCCCTGCGCCTCGTTCTTTCTGCGGTTTGCTGCCTTTGGGGGCAGAAGGCCATGCCGCGCGCGCTGCTCGGCGTTTGCGCGCCCCTCTCCTTCGCCTCATCTCCCCAGCGGCACTCGCAGCTGCATATGGTTGGGCTCTTCGTCGGGCTGAAGTTTTAGCCCGATGGGGAAGAATGAGGCCGAGGCAGACGTCGAGGTCGAGACGAGGCGAGGCCGAGCGCACGTCACGCCGCAAGGCGGCGCTGGCCCTCTGCGCTGGCCCTCTGCCGGGGAGAGCGCCCAGGCGTCGGAGGCTCGGCGGGGCTCGACAGCGGCTGGCGGCGCCCTCGGGGAGGTGGCCCGGGCGTCGCCTCCAGGGGGGGGGGGTCGATGCGTGGATGGGGGAAGGAAGGCGCCCTTGCCGGGGCCAGAAGCCCCCCTGTGGGGGAGGAGGAGGAGGAGGAGGAGGAGGAGGAGGAGGAGGAGGAGGAGGAGGAGGAGGAGGAGGAGGAGGAGGAGGGGGAGGGGGGGAGGCAGGACTCCACCCAGGAGGGTCATGCACCCGAATTCCCACGGAGGCCCCACGAGCCCCGCGAGACCCCAAGGAGCCCCAGGGACCCCAGCCGAGGCCTCACCGTCCTGAGCGTAGGCCAAACCTGGGTTTAACCCCAGGTGCGGCCCACGCCGACCTCGTCGGCGGCGGACTGGCACAGCGCAACGTAGCGCTCCCGCCAGTCCACCACGAAGAGGTCCGCGTAGGCGTCGCCGTCGACAGAGCTCTCGGCGTCCGAGACTCCGTCGCTCTGGCCCTCGTCGGACACGAACTTGTCCGCCCATGGGCCAGGAGGGCGGCGAACGCCACTGTGGTCATTCATCTCGGCAATGCTAATGTTGCCGATGTCGGCGATGTCGTAGCCCAGCGGCGCCTGCGGGACCTCCACGATCCCCGAGCCTTCCTCTGCCTTCGTGGCCTCCGCGGTGGCGGCGGCCAGTAGCCCCTCGAACTCGACGAGGCTGTGGGCGGCAGCATCGATCTCGTCGCGCAGCACCTGATCCGCCTCGGCGCCGCCGTGCTGCGCGAGGGCATCCAGCGGCTCCAGCACCGCCATCTCGTCGGCCAGCGGCGCCTGCGGGGCCGAATCGGCCCCCTTGTTCTGGCCGTCGATGGTGTCTAAGTGCACCTCCTCGATGCAAACGTCGGCCTGGCCCTCCCCTTCGAAGGGCCCCTCGCTGAGAGCGGCCAGCAACTCCTCTACGTCCCCACCAGTCGGCGGCGGGTACGCTGCAGCACCCGGCACGAAGATCGGCGCCTCGGCGCGGAAAGCGGAGGGGCAGAGCGGAGGAGCGGGGACGCCAGCAGCCACACGGCTCACCCCAGCATCCGCCTCGCAGATCTCTACCACGACGTCGACGATGGTTTGCTTGGACCGCCGTTGGGCGCCGCGCTGCACGCCGTTGAACTGCTTGAAAGACAGCCCCAGCAGCTGGGCCATGGGCAGCCCGAAGACGTGCATGGCCACGTTCCTGATGATGACCTCCATCCTCGGGTGCTCGGGTGCGACCCCGCGGCGCCTGGCAGCAACCTCCTCCTCGAGAAAAGGTACCAGGGCGTCCAGTCTGCGCTGGACCTCAGGGTCCTCGCTTCGCCGCAGCTGCTCCTCCAGTGCCAGGACACGCGCCTTGACAGCAGCCAGCTTCGCGTCAGCCGTTGCAGCAGCTTCGCGACGGCGCCCTCCACGCGGAAGCCTCTGGGGGCTCCCTGCCGCAGCCAGCCCGAGCGGCCCGCCAGCACCCGGCGCCATGAGCAAGCACACAGAGCCAAGATGGTGGGGGCGCGCGAACGGCTTGAGCCAAAATGGCTACGGAGGGGGGGTGGAGGAGGAGGAAGGAGGAGGAGGAGAGGAGGAGGAGGAGGTGAGGAGGAGGGGAGGAGGGGAGGGGGAGGAGGATGGGGTGGAGGAGGAGATGGAGCCCAGGAGTGTCCACAGGGGTCACCTATTCTGCGCCCTCGTTCCCCCCCCACCCGCTCTTCGCCCCCCCCCCCCCTTGCGCGCGACGCCCAGGGTGGCGCGAGGGGCGCGGCCTCCTGGGAAGGCAGGGAGGGGGGGGGGGGTCAGGGGGGCCTTCGTATGTACAGTCGTGGCGGATTGGAGAGGACACTCGAGAGGACACAAGACCCTTCCGATGGCCACGTTGCCAGTGGCACGTGGAGGAGACGGGTCGCGGAGCAAAGGACATGAGGGTGGCCCTGTTCGGGCAGGGTCGACCTGCCAATCCAACTCGACTGCAGAGGAGGAGTCCCCTCCGTGGGAGCCCAGCGGCCCCTCTGAGAAGGCCCCCCCGTCCCCTCGGAGCATCTCCGCCCTCTTAGAGGCCCGTGCCCCTCGCGCCGACCCCCCCCCGCCCCCTGCGGGCGCCGTCGAGGCGGAGAGGACACAGCGGGGTGGGGGGAGGAAAGGAGCTGCCTCTCGAAGAAGGCGCGGTCGACGAGGACGTAGTCGACGTGCCGGGAGCCCGATCGCCCGCAGAACACGAAGGACCCCAGGGGCGCCGAAGCCGCAGTGCTCTCCCCAGATCTGGCCATCGGGCTCGCTGCCGAACGATCTGACAGGGCCGAGGCGACCTCGACGCGGCAGCGTATCGTGTCGAGTCGGAGCGGCCCGGGAACCTCAAGCGCCAGTAGAATCCAACGCTACACGCACTTTTCGAACTTCACCCGCACGTGTTGTCGGATCTGCCTGCTTGAACACTTCAGCCATGACACTCAACATGCGTTCTTGATTCGAGGCGCTTCGAGGTCCTGCCCATACCATGATGAAGTTATGCGAGAATCTGCTCTGCGGGCGTTCAAGCTCTCGAATGCGGGCTCCGATGTTCTCGTACCGTCTGTTCTTGTACTGGTCCCAACACGTGAACCTCTCCTCGCGACGGGCTCAACAGTGTAAGATAATGTCGGCTACAGACAGGACAGCGTCCTGAAAACGAACATATAGTCGATCGATCCCCCGAAAACAGGAGAACCAATATTCAAATCGATAAGTCGGATCGGCGATCGAAGTGAATCGGGTCGGCGGAAATCGGCAGCCGAGTCAGGAAAAGTCGAATCGGCGGAAATCGGCAGGCTCGCACGCGTCCAATAGGGAGTCGGAGCCCAAATCGGAGAATTCCAGGTCGAAGCGAAGCGGAACCGGAGGCCGTCGACATCGAGTCGCATCGAATCGGAGGCATCGAAAAAAAAAGCACCGCAAAGGTCAGGCCACGGGGCGCGACACAGCCGACCGCCTGCCTTCGAGCGACCCACCCCGGCGGACGACTCGTGCTTTGTGGGTGCCACGACAGCGGACACCCTAACAGTCCTACCATCGAATGAAAAAAGTGTTCAAAATGTCGGAGGGATGCCCTGAACATGTTTAAAACATACGTTTATATATAGATATATATATAGTATATATATATTAGATATATATATATATAGTTATATTATATATATATATATATTATATATATCTTATTATATATATAAATAAATAAAAAAGAACAAGTTAAACATATATCTTACACATCTGGAAATTCTTTGGCAGCATGCCTCCTCTCCGTGGATCGGCCTCCGCAGCGCGTGCTTCCTTACACGCCGCTGCGCCCGTCGATCCTCGGCGCGGGGGTGCAGCTCCGCGAAGGTGTCCACCATGCCGTCCTCCCGCAGCACGGCCTGCAGCCACCGGGTCACGGCGGGGGCCTGCCGGGGGGGGGCCCAAGAATATATACACCGCCACCGCCTCCCTCCTCACTCCTCCCTCCTCCCTCCTCCCTCGCCCAGGAGAGAGGAGAGGAAGAGGAGGGCAGAGGGGAGAGGAGGAATCGACGTGGTGGTGGTGGTGGTGTATATTAGAGGCGAGGAAGAGGAGGGTAGAGGAGAGAGGAGAAATCGACGCGGTGGTGGTGGTGGTGGTGGTGTATGTTCTTTGGGTCCCCACCTGCGCCAGCGACCCGCACGCGTCCGCCAGGCGCTTCTGCGCCTGCAGCGGGATCTCGACCTCCGCCAGCCTCTTCATGCACTCCGCCAGGTCCCCCATGCTCAGGGCTCCAGGGCCGTGCAGGAGGTGGGCTGCATCGACCGCCGCGCCGCCCAGCGCCACGGAGCCGTCCTCCTCAACACCTATGCCGTCAACCGCGAACGAGAGACGTGCGCCCTCCTCGGTCTCGAAGGGGGCTCCTAAGCGCACCAGATTGCCAGACTTGGCCGACGCGAAGACGCCCCACTTGCTGTAGGCCCTGCCTGGAGCTTGCATGTTGTTGGCTCAATTTGCAAACATGTCTGTGACCGAGTCTTCCCCCCCTGGTGCAATCACAGTCCGCGTTGGCGCCGTCTGGGACTGGCCAGGGGTATTTGTGCACATATATAATGAGCAGGGAGGGCGGAAATCCGAGAATAGCTTAGACAAATGGTGACACTACAGAGATTGCGTTGTGCTTACAAGCGCGTGCATATGCTCGAAAGGATGTTGTGGCGTTCGCAGGCTACTGCCAGACGGCTAAAATCCCACATCTACTTGTCCATGCGCGTGGCGTTCGCAGGTAATTGTGGTACGGACAGGGTCTGGTTTCGCTTGCTGCGCGGTAGTCGCAATCGCTCGGCTGTGCTCTCAGGCACACCTTGGTGTTCACCGCACGCATTGTGGAACATGGCAAGGTCCGATTTCCCCTAACGCCTCGTGGTCGCCATCACACTGTGGTGTTTTTCGTCGGATTGTGGTGAGAGCAGCCTGCCATGGTGTTCGCAAGCACTGGGCTGGCAGACATACTGATTGTAGCGCTTGCAGGCTAATGGGGGCACTGGCATGGGTCCGGCAACCTGTGGTACACAATGACAGATATCCGCCACTGTGCCCCTATGGCACGAAGTGGAGCGTCCCAAAATCAGTCCTCGATCCCCTGAACCGCAGTCCTCAACACTGGGGATCTTTTAGGGGCCCCGACCCCAAATTCAACATGCCCTTCAAGGCGTGAGTGGTTTAGAGAGCTTCCTCTTCCAAACCCCTTCCTTCCTTTCGGGGAGGAGTTCATCACTGTTCCCTATTCATGAATATCCCCTTCCCCCAGGCAACCAGCAGCCAACCAGGAACAATGACGACCCCCCTTTTATCCGTGTGAGAAACAATAAATGTGGGGCAAAATCTCGGGTCATGCTCGTGGGCCCAGCAAGCAATTTGCATTGGTTTTCTGACAGGGACGGCGGCGAGGGTATGCTATTGCCTGCTGCGCGTAAGGCCACCACCCCTGTGAGAATTAGCCTGGCGAAGGACCCAACCATATGCAATTGTGGATACCGCAATTGTGAATACCATCCTCGCCCGCGCCCCCTATGTGGCCACGGCTTCCCGCCGGAACCCGACATGCTCAGGAACACGTTCGTGGCCGTCTTCGCGGGCGCCGACGACGACAAGGACGGCGTCCCTCTCACCGAGGAGCAGAAGCAGGAGAGGAACTTGAGAGACATTAGGGAGGAGGCGGCGTTGCACGTGGACAAGGCGGAGTACGACGCCCAGGCGCGGTTGTTGAAGCAGCACAACTATGGGGCCACGATCCTCGTGAGGGGTGTGCCGCAATGGCCTGGGGCCGCCATGCGAACCCTGCCACTGACGCCTTCGCTGGAGCTTCTGTGGGGCCACGATCCTCGTGAGGGGTGTGCCGAACTGGCCCGAGGCCGCCCTGCGAACCCTGCCACTGGGGCCTTCGGTGGAGCTCCCTATGGGGCCACGATCCTCGTGAGGGGTGTGCCGAAATGGCCCGAGGCCGCCCTGCGAACCCTGCCACTGGGGGCCTTCGCTGGAGCTCCCTATGGGGCCACGATCCTCGTGAGGGGTGTGCCGAAATGGCCCGAGGCCGCCCTGCGAAGCCTGCCACTGGGGCCTTCGGTGGAGCTCCCTATGGGGCCACGATCCTCGTGAGGGGTGTGCCGAACTGGCCCGAGGCCGCCCTGCGAACCCTGCCACTGGGGCCTTCGGTGGAGCTCCCTATGGGGCCACGATCCTTGTGAGGGGTGTGCCGAAATGGCCCGAGGCCGCCATGCGAAGCCTGCCACTGTGGGCCTTCGCTGGAGCTCCCTATGGGGCCACGATCCTCGTGAAGGGTGTGCCGAACTGGCCCGAGGCCGCCATGCGAACCCTGCCACTGGGGCCTTCGGTGGAGCTCCCTATGGGGCCACGATCCTCGTGAGGGTTTTCTTTCCGTTTTTGTCTTGTGCCGAAATGGCCCGAGGCCGCCATGCGAAGCCTGCCACTGGGGGCCTTCGCTGGAGCTCCCTATGGGGCCACGATCCTCGTGAGGGGTGTGCCGAACTGGCCCGAGGCCGCCATGCGAAGCCTGCCACTGGCGCCTTCGCTGGAGCTCCCTATGGGGCCACGATCCTCGTGAGGGGTGTGCCGAACTGGCCCGAGGGCGCCATGCGAACCCTGCCACTGGGGCCTTCGGTGGAGCTCCCTATGGGGCCACGATCCTCGTGAGGGGTGTGCCGAAATGGCCCGAGGCCGCCATGCGAACCCTGCCACTGTGGGCCTTCGCTGGAGCTCCCTATGGGGCCACGATCCCTGTGAGGGGTGTGCCGAACTGGCCCGAGGCCGCCATGCGACGCCTGCCACTGGCGCCTTCGCTGGAGCTCCCTATGGGGCCACGATCCTCGTGAGGGGTGTGCCGAACTGGCCCGAGGCCGCCATGCGAACCCTGCAACTAGCGCCTTCGCTGGAGCTCCCTATGGGGCCACGATCCTCGTGAGGGGTGTGCCGAAATGGCCCGAGGCCGCCATGCGAACCCTGCCACTGGGGGCCTTCGCTGGAGCTCCCTATGGGGCCACGATCCTCGTGAGGGGTGTCCCGAAATGGCCCGAGGCCGCCATGCGACTCCTGCCACTGGGGCCCTTCGGTGGAGCTCCCTATGGGGCCACGATCCTAGTGAGGAGTGTGCCGAAATGGCCCGAAGCCGCCATGCGAACCCTGCCACTGGCGCCTTCGCTGGAGCTCCCTATGGGGCCACGATCCTCGTGAAGGGTGTGCCGAAATGTCCCGAGGCCGCCATGAGAACCCTGCCGCTGGCGCCTTCGGTGGAGCTCCCTATGGGGCCACGATCCTTCTGAGGGGTGTGCCGAAATGGCCCGAGGCCGGCATGCGAACCCTGCCACTGGCACTTTCGGTGGAGCTCCCTATGGGGCCACGATCCTCGTGAGGGGTGTGCCGAAGTGCCCCGAGGCCGCCACGCGAACCCTGCCACTGGCGCCGTCGGGGACCTTAACTGGAGCTCCCTATGGGGCCACGAAACGTGTGAGGGGTGTGCCGAAATGGCCCGAGGCCGTCATGCGAACCCTGCCACTAAGGCCTTCGGTTGAGCCCCCTATGGGGCCACAATCCTCGTGAGGGGTGTGCCGAAATTGCCCGAGGCCGCCATGCGAACCCTGCCACTGGGACCTAAGCTGGAGCTCCCTATGGGGGCCACGAAACGTGTGAGGGGTGTGGCAAAATGGGGCGGCGGCGCCATGCGAGCTGCGCCACTGGGACCTTCGGTGGAGCTCCCTATGGGGCCACGAAACGTGTGAGGGGTGTGCCAAAATGATGCTGATGGATGATGGGTGATGGTGATGATGGTGACGATGATGCTGATGATGGGGAGAGGGAGGGGGATGCAGCGGGAGGAGAAGGAAGGAACGAGGACGCGGGCGCTGTCACTTCAAAACGAGGACCCAACACCACAGGATGGTTGGGGAAAAATGCGACACACACTTCGCGGCTGAATCTGGATCATGCGCGGTCGCCCCACAATCATCATTGTTTTTTGACAAGATCGGCGGGGGTACTGGCATATTGCCTGCTGTGCACAGGCCCACCAGACACCATGATGGTATCCCCGCCGCGATTGTGCATTGGCTTTCGACAAGGATGGTGAGGGCTGACATGTTTCTCAATGTATCCTGTCACGTCCGCAGGCGCACCTGGCACACTCTGCGCGTGCCCCGAACGTGGCACACCTGGCGCGGCTGGGCCATGCGGCACACATGGCGAATGCGGAGCAAATGGCGCATCTGGCGCGCCAGGCGTTCCTGGCACGCTTGGGCCCCACGGTTGCCTGGCGCACCTGGCGCGCGTGGCGCGCCTGGCACGCGTGGCGCACCTCGTCCCAGCGTCGCGCACATGGAGATTGTGTTGGTTCCGAGTAGTTGTCCATCCGGAGGCGACGGCTGAACATGCTGAGGTTCCCTGTGCTTATGTGTTGGGAGGGCGGGTGGGAGTGAGCGAGACAGCTTGCGGGCGGAGAGGGTGGCTTGACCCCTCATTTATTCCACATTGATTCTGGACCCATTTTGACCTCCTGGGGGGAAGCCCTACTTGGAACCCCTCCCTTCGTTGATCGAAGTCCTTGAAGATGGCCCGGAGACGGCCCCCCAGGCTCCCGAACGTGTCCCAAGAGCACACCTAGAGGCGTCAAGAAAAAACCAAGAGGCCACCAAGATGCCCCCGAGAGTCTCCCAAGAGACCCCAAACAGGTCCCAAAGAGGCTCCACCGAGGCATCCAAGACGCTTTCAGAGGCCCCCAGGGCCACCAAGATGACCCCAAGACGCCCCGACAGGCCTACAAGGAACTCCCGAGAAACATCCGAAGAGACTCCGAGAAGCATCCGAGAGACCTCTAGCTTTCCTTTTCGTCGTCGTCGTCCTCCTCCTCCTCCTCCTCCTCCTCCTCCTCCTCCTCCTCGTCATCCGCCTAGTCCTCCTTCTCCCTCCTCCCTTTTTTCTCCCCACTCCTCCTCATTCATTCGTTTTCCCCATCCTCTTCTGCTTCCCCCTCTACCATCCCCATCTTGGGATACGACGGCCGTCCAGCCTTTATTCCACTGCGCGCTTCACCTCATGCCTGACCAGCGCAACTCGCCTGGACAAGTAAGGGGCCACATGCGAACCCTACCCCTACCCCCCACGACTTCTGAGGGGGAGGGTGGATTCACCTCATTCGGGAGCTCCCGAGCGAAGTGAACCCCACCCTCCCCCTCAGAAATCGCAGGGGGTAGGAGTAGGGTTCGCATGTGGCCCCCTAACAACGCTTCTGGATGGCCGGGTGGGGCTGCGCGAGGCGTCCAGAGCTGCAAGAGATAGCCTGGGGCGTCCCGCGTCCCCCCCTCTGTGGGCTCCCCCGACTGTTGTCTCGCATGCCTTCGGAGCCAAAAAGGAACCCTGGACGGGCCAAAGAGACTCCCAGAGCTCGCCCAAAATGGGTCCAGGGGCGCCCCGAATCGCCACACGATCGGTTCAGGACGCCCAGGATGGCCCCGAGGCGGCCCAAGAAACCTTCGAGGGGTCCTGAGAGAGCCCCAAGAGCCTTTCCAAGAGGGCCCCGAGTGGCAAACACCCTTGGTGTTCTTCAAGTGTTTCAATGTGTTTGGGGTACTCGTCGTTTCGAGTTTCCCAACGCTTCAAGATGGCCCAGGAGGTTCCCAAGAGAGCTCAAAGACAGCCCAAAAGGCCACAGAGAGGGCCACAAGACGGCCCAAGAGGGCCCATACACGGCCCCAAAGGCGCTCAAGACGGCCCGAGGCCTGCCCCAAAAAGGACCCAAGAGAGGGAACACGAACCGGAAATCCTGGTGTTCCTGCGTGGGTGGTGCTCCTGCACGCCGTAGATGTCGGCCAGGTGCCCACTGCCAATCTCCGTAAAGTCGGAGATGCCCGCGAGCGGGCCCCGTGGACTGCCGTTCGCGCTGACGATGCCGAGCTGGCCTCCTCGCCCCGATCGTTTCGCCCTGCTGCCCGCGGCCTGGCCGTCGCCGCTCTCAGCCCTCAGCGCTGGCCGCTCGGCGCTGCCTGGCCTGGCGGTTCGGCCCCCGCGAGCCGCTGCCGCCTTCCAGGCTGCCTCGTCGGCCTCTCCCTGCGCGGGTGGCCCCCTGCCTCCGGCGGTCTGGCCTTGGGGGGGGGGGGGGGGGGGGTACCCCGAGGAGGGGGCTGCTCGGCCCCTCCTCGGCCCCTGGCCAACTCTCCTCTCTACTTCGGCTGCGCCACCTGGCGCCGCGGCCAGCCGCCCGCCCCCCCCCCCCCCTCCCCAGGGCCCGCCAGCTCCCCCGCCTCCGCCTCGGCGGTCGGGGGCCCCGCGGGCGGCAGCGGCTCGCCGCCCAGCTGCGCGCGGCCGGGGGCGCTGCCATCCAACGCCTCAGCGGCGCGGCGTGGTCGTAGCTGTGGATCCCTGCCGCTGCCAGCTACTGGCCGCGCGCGGGGCCGTTGAGCCACTGCAGGGACGTCATCCTGGCCCGCGCGCCCATGCGCCAGGCCCTCTCACAGATCTCGGCGGCGAGCTCTGGGCTGCCTGCCCGCGGGCCCCCGAACCTGCTCTCGTTCATCTTCCGCGCCAGGTGTCCTCAACGCCTTGCATCCTGCTCGAGGCGTGGGGCTGCAGAGCCGCGCGCGGGGCGTCGCCGCTCGTGTCCTGGGGTGTCCTGTGAGTCCTCGCCGTTGTCCGGGCCGTGCTCGCCGCACCCGATGGGGCGCCAGGTCTCGCCGCCGATGGCGATGTCGACCGTGCCGAAGCCGCGCTGCTCATCTCCGTCCACATCGGGGTCCTCCTCGCCCTCGCCCTGGCCGCCTCGTCCTGGCTCGGGGTGCTGTCCTCCCGCGCCGTGGCTCGGCCCTCTCGCGATCGCTGCGCGTGCTGCTGCTGACTCCGCCCGAACGCGTGCCTCGTGGCGGTGCGCATTCGCTCCTTCTCGTCCCTCGGCTCCTCTCTCTGGCGACGGCAGAGGAGCGGCTCCCGCGGTCCCGCCGCGAGCCCCGCCGAGCAGCTCATGAAGTCCGCCCGTCCCCCCCTGGCGAGCGTCCATCTGTTCTCGCAGATCTCTCCGGCCCACCGCAGCTTCTCCTCGCACACGTTGGCGACGGTGCTGAGCGAGGGGAAGGCCCCCGCGGCGAATGCCGCTACCGCGTAGGGGACGCAGCTGTTCAACAATTCCTGCTCGCCAATGGGCTGTGGCCAGCGGGCGACCTCGAGCGCCCGCGCAGCGCTCCTCCCCCACTGGTACCTCTGGGGCTCGCGCCCTTGCTGTACTCCTGCACCCCGCACTTGGTCTCGGCTGCTCAGGATACTCGCCCTGGGCGCATGCCCGAGTGCGGTTTGGGCGTCATGCTCGGGCAACTCGGAGTTCAAGCCTTGCCAGCTGATGGTGTCCTCCTCGCTTGGCCCCTCCGGCTCCCAGGACCCGCGGCCTGCGGCGTCGCTCTGGCAAGCTTCTCGGATCCCTGCGCCAACTTCCCCACGGATTTCTGCGCCAGCTTCCCCGCGTGGATGGCCTTCAAATTGAGGAGGGCGGTTGCCTTGGCTGCAGCTCGGCCCAGATATCCCTATGAACGCAGGCGCCGAGCTGCTCCGCTGCCGGCAGCCCCTCCTGGGGAGGCTAGGGTTGTGCCAGCGCCTTCGCCTCCAGGCTCTGTTGTCCGTGCTGTTGTCCGTGCCCATAAGGTTCTGTCTCGCTGTCGAGCTCGCTGGCACCAGCGATGGATTGGCTGAACTGCTTGGCGATCGCCTCCATAGGTCCGTGGCGCTCTCGGAAAGGTCCAGATACTATTCGGTCCGCTGGACGGCGTCGGTGACTGGGTCGGCCTTCTTGGCCCCTTCGACCTCGCGCTCAGCGTCGTCCGCGTCTGCTGCCTCCCGCTTCTCCTCCAGCAGCTCGTCCACCGGCAGCTTGTGTCACTCCCCGCGAGCCTTTGCAGCCTGGGCGCCCTTGGCTGTGGCGGCGTCCAATTTGGCCTGCAGTTCCCCAGCCTCGTCGGTGTAACGCTCGTGCTCTGTATTGTTCTTGTTCCCTACCTAGGCTCTGCCTAGAAGGGTTCTTACTTTCTTGGCTGAAAGGGCCGGGCAGTGGAATGCGCCCCGAGCGGTTCCCCCGGTCCCCTGGGAGCTTTAGCTTTAGCTTTAGCTTTAGCTTTAGCTTTAGCTTAGCTTTAGCTTAGCTTTACCTCAGTTTTTGTTGCTTAGCTTTACCTTAGCTTTAGCTTAGCTTCAGCTTTGCTGTTACTACTAATGCTGCTTTCCTAGGGGCTCCAACTCCTAGGTAGGGCTGCTCTGGGATAATTGAGTTTCCGTTCGAGCCCTCTGGTCCTTCCTGACGGGGGCTGGCCGGCGGCTAGCTTCTCCTCAAGCTTTTCGATGGCCGCGCGGCCGCCCTCGGCGCCATTGCCGCCTGCGCTGCGGCCGCCACGGCCGACACCATCGCAGCCCACGGCACCGCGCCCCGAGCGTGGAAGAACTGTGCCCTCAAGCGCACTGCCGCGTGCTCGAAGCGACGACGAACGGCTCGCAGTGGTCGGCGGTTGCATCGTCTTGAGCCAAGCTGTCGGATGATGAGGAGGAGGAGGAGGAGGATGAGGATGATGATGGTGAAGATGATGACGAGGATGAGAATGCTGGGGATGCGGATGATGAGGATAAGAGTGAGGATGATGACGACGACAATGACGACGACGACCATGGTGATGATGATGATGCTGATGATGATGAGGCAAAAGATGAGGATGATGACGGTGAGGCTGAGGATGAGGATGAAGATGCTGTTGCTGCTGATGATGCTGATGCTGATGAGACTCTCCTCCACGAATGGTTAAGGTTAGGTCGGGCATCTCCTCCTTTAAAGGGATTTTAGACGAAAAATAAAAATACGGAAAAGTATTTTAAAAATAGCCAGAAATAAACAAAACATCGTCCCCAGACTATTTGTTGACTATTTTTGACTATTCCTTCTGTGGGGGGACAGGCCCGATTTAAGGTTCAAGCTGAACCCTCGCAGGATGAAGCCCTCGCAGGATGATGAGGATGAGGATGACGACGACGACAACGACGACGACGACGACGACGATAATGATAATGATGATGATGATGATGATGATGATGATGATGATGATGATGATGATGATGATGACGATGAGGAGGAAAAGGAGGAGGATGAGGAGGATGAGGATGAGGCTAAGGATGAGGATGATGGTGGTGAGGCTGAGGACGAGGATAACAATGACGATGCTGACGATGACGATGCTGATGCTGATGATGCTGACGATGCTGCTGCTGATGAGACTCTCCTCCACGAACGGTTAAGGCTGAAGCCCTCGCAGGATGACACTCTGCCACGAGAGCGACCGCAGGCGGAGGAGGAGGAGGAGGAGGAGGAGGAGGAGGAGGAGGAGGGGAGGAGGAGGAGGAGAAGTCCTGTCTGGCTGTTGCGCGTCTCGATCTGCTGGCCACACTGCGGCGCAGGGCCTCGAGGCGACGAAGGCCCACTCGCCGCAGATCGCCTCGGGCGGCGGCCTCGCCCTCGGGCCCCAAGCGCGCCCGCTCTCGCGCGTGAGCGCGCGCAGCGCCCCGACCCGCAGGGGGCGGTGGGCCCAGTGCGAGTCGACGCTCCTGCTCTTCACGCCTCGACGGGACCCAAGCACGGCACAAAGCGCGAACCTTTGAGGTCGAGAGGAGGAGGGAGGAGGAGGAGAGGAGGGAGGAGAGGAGGAGGAGGAGGAGGAGGAGGAGCTGCGCGGAAGAGAGGACGAGGCCAGGACGAGGACCACGTCGGGGAAGGGATGCATCGAGGCTCTCTGAGGTCCAGAGGCTCTGTGAGGACGTCTTCGGGCGCCGCGGCCTTCTCCGAGCGCTCTGGAAGGCTTTGAGGACGATCCGGAACGCTCTGAACGGATTGATCCTCGCCCTGGCCCCGTCCGACGCCTCCCCCCCCCCGTCTGGCGCGCGGAGCGCACCACGGGCGGGGGTCCGGCGCCCGACCGACACCTCCGCGCGGAGGCCTGCTCGCCATCGCTCGGACGTCCATTCCCTGTGCGTGGCTTTTCGGCCAGATGATCAGGGATGCTCCTCGATTGTCCTCGCCGAAGGAAAAATGCACACCTCCGAGCGATGCCAAGCCTGGAAGTTCTCCTGCCTATGTGCACGTCTTCGTCCTTCGCATGTTCAAGTCCCCTGCGAGGACCACCGCCTTGCCCGCGGCCCGCTCCCGGGCCATCGCCGAGCGCAGCGCCGCCAGCCACCGCAGCTTGAAGGGCAGGCGCGGGCCGCCCGCGCTGTTCGGCACGTAGACGTTGATGGGCACGTTTGCCACCACCACCACCAGAAGTTGGAGGGGGAAGGTGGAGGACGAGGAGGAGGAAGAGGAGGGGGAAGAGGAGGAGGAGGAAGAAGAGGAGGAGGAGGAGGAAGAATAGGAGGAGGAGGAGGAGGAGGAGGACCCCCTCCCCCTATAACTTATGGTGGTGGTGGTGGACAACACGCCCCTCGGACGTTGAACACCACGAACGGCCCGTGGTCCGTCAGGAGGCAGCGGCCCTCCCCGTCCAGGTCGGGGTCTCGCAGCGGGGCGCCGTCCGCGCGGAGCACCGTGCCCTCCCGGGCCAGGGTGGCCACGCCGTTCAGGCCCTGCCTCTGGGGCAGCCAGAATTGTGTTGCTCCACTCGTACTCAAGGACCACATCCCAGAAATACTTTCGAGCTCTCCTCGCGCCCCCAGATATGCGCACGCCCCCTCCGAAGGCTCCCCCCCTTGCGCCGCGCCCCCCCCGCGCGCGCCGCCGCCGAGCAGCTGGGGCCACCAGAAAAAGATACTGATGCCGCTGCTCCCCGGACCCCTCCCGGGGTGCGCACCGACCAGAGCTGCGAGGCCAGTCCAGCGGTGGCGACGAGGGGCTCCCAGGAGGCCGAACGAGAGGGGGAGGCGAGGGAAGGGTAGAAGTATGGGCACCTCTTCCTCCTCCTCCTCCTCCTCCTCCTCCGCCTCCTCCTCCTCCTCCTCCTCCTCCCCCTCCTCCTCCCCCTCCTCCTCCTCCTCCTCCTCCTCCTCCTCCTCCTCCTCCTCCTCCTCCTCCTCCTCTGAGCATCTGTACCTCTCCCTCCTCCTCCTCGCCTCTGCGCGGCCGACCCGTCGTTGCAGGCCCAGAAGCTCTCGAAACCTGGGGTCTCGGCGTCCTGCCGCAGGGCGTCCGCCGCCAGCGCCCTCGCGGTGAGCTTGACCTCCTCCGAGGGCGCGCCGACGTGGATTGACGACCCATGGAATTGGAGCGCTTTTTTTTCAGCGATAATGGGCATTATAAGAGGGGGAGGGGGCCAAGGGGGGGGTATAATGTAACGCCTCCCCCCCGCCGTATGCCCGATGCGCACGGCGGCAGTGCTGGAGCGCACTGGGGGGGGGAGGGGCGTTACCTTATAGGGGGGGAAGGGGAGGGGGCGGGTCGGGGGCTATAATGCCCAGTGTCCCCCAAGTAATGAAGAAACACGCTCTTGGCGTGCGGTCGCCAAATCCATGGATCGGGGGAGGTGCCATCCCCAAAAAGCGGCCGGTGCCGCCTCGCTCGGCGGCGGACATCCGCGATTCCCCCTGGAAGCGGGACCCGTCGCTACCATCCACGCCCCCGGAATCCATGTTGGCGATCGCCTGACTCCTGCAGGCACAGGATGTCGGCGCGGTGCCCCTCGAGCAGGCCACGCAGGCCCCCCCTGCAGCGGCGCACCTCCAGTGGCTCAGAGGTGTGGTGCCCAGGCATGGGGTCCTCAGCATGGGAAGGGATCCCCAGGGGAATTGACAGCGTTTGAGGGACCTCTGGCCCCGGCCCTGGCTGCCGCCGCGGTCCCCGCTGCACTGGCTGGCCGCCCCAGCCCGCTCATCGCGGCACTCTGTTCCACGCCTGAGCGCCTTCCCCCTCCTTCCCTCGCGCGGCCGCCCTCGTCTTCGGCTCTCCCTCTTGCGCTCTCCGGACAATCTGCCTATCTCGATTGCCCCGAGTAGCTCCACGCTGGTGCGGACTGCCTCTGCCTCGCCGCCGACGAAAAAAAGGTTGGAGGGACCTTGTTCTAAGGACCCCATCCCCGAAGACCCCCTCCTTGAGCCACCAACGCCTGCTCCGCGGTGGTCTTCCACCCGGCCACGTTCCAGGACAGCAGGTGCAGCTGCCCCAGCGGCAGCGGCGCTGGGGCCACGCTGGCAGTCATGTGACCAGCTGCCGAGGCGGGGAGTTATCAGCATCCACCAGCCGAACACCGATGTCCTGGCGCTCTACTGGGCTCTGGAAACGGCACGGCCGTTTTTGCACAACAAAAACCTATATGAAAAAAGTGCTGTTCAGACTCTGGCGCGCCCCCAGACTCTGGGGGTTGGGGGTTGCTCCGACTTTGTCTCTCGTTGTCCGACTGTGTCTCCTCGCTCATACCCCCTGCCTCCTTCTCCTGGTCCTCCTCCCTGTTTCTCTTCCTACTCCCTCTCGCCTGCTTTCCATCTCTATATCTCTATTACCTCCTTTCCTCCTCCTCCCTCCTCAACCTCCTCCTTCCTCCTCGCTCCTCGCCCCCAGGCGACCCAGGAGGCCTTTCAAGATGAGACCCATGACGGCCAGGAGGCCCCCAAAGACGGTCCCCCCCCCCCCCCTCAAGAGGCCCTCTAAGAGAGACGCCCAAGATGGCCTCCAAGACGGCCCTGAAGCGCCTCAAGAGGACCCCACATCGGTTCAGAGAGGCCCCCAAGACGGCTTCCGACGGCGTCAGACCCGTCAGACGGGCCAGGAACGATTTAAGACTGCCAAGGAGAGGCCCCCAAGACGCCCCCACGGCCCCCAAGAGGCCTAAGGAGGCCCCCAAGAGGCTTCCGAGAGGCCCCCCGGGAAGCCCCCAGGAGGCCCCACAAGAGTGCCCCAAGAGGCTCCCAAGAGGCTTCCTCCTCCTCCTCCTTCTCCTCCTCCTTCTCATCCTCTTCCTCCCTCTCCTGATCCTCCCCCTCAGCCTCCCCCGAGCGTTCCCCGAAGAGTTTCCGGAGCGGCTGGGGGAATACATAATCAGATAGCTTGGCCAAGCTGGGGCCCAACGTTTGGCCACATAGGCGCTTCTCAAAAAGGCTGGGGGCGGCGGTGATTCGCCGTAGGCGTCTTGGATCCGCCGCCCCCTGTGCTTGCCACAGGGTTGGACGGCGTGCCAGACATTTTGCTGAGATTCTGAATTTCAAACCCTTCCCAGTGGCCTTCGGCCCAGACCGCCTGCCCCTCGGAAGGACCAGAAGGTGTGGCCCACATCGCCACCAAGACGGCCCAAACGGCCCAATATGGTCACCAAGATGCCTCCAAGGCGGCTAGGATCGCTCCAAGAGAGCCCAAGACGGCTCCAATATGTCTCCAAGACGGCCCAAGATGCACCCGAGGCGTCCAAGATGGCCCCAAGATGGCCCAGGACGGCCCCAAAGGCCCCCAGGAGGCTTTAATGCAGTCCAAGAAGCCTCCAAAGGGATCTGCAGGAAGGCCCGAAGAGGCCAAGACAGCTGATTTCCCGTGGGCTCTTGATGGATTTTGACGTTTTCGGCCTGCCGACGGCCCAATGCCGCCGAAGATACCCCCAAGATGGCCCCAAGAGCGCCCAAGAGGCCTCCAAGACGGCCCCATGACGGCCTCCAGACGGTCCAAGAGGCCCCCAAGGCGCCTCCAAGACGGCTCACGAGAATTCCAAGGCGCCCACGATGGCCTTCAAGACGGCTCCAAAACGTCCAAGATGGCAACGATACGATTCGACATAGCCCCAGGATGTCCCAAGACAGCCACATAGGGCCCCAAGGGCCCCAAGGGGATCCAAGGGGCCTCCTAGACAGTCTAGGAAGTCTTCAAGAGGACCTCCAGGAGAGCCCGAAATGCACAAATGGTTGTATTTATTCCCTTCAATTGTTGAATAATTTGGGCGCGTTTTCTTTTTCGGCTGTCCGACGGCCCAAGATGTCCACAAGATGGTCCCAAGACGGCCCAAGCTGACTTCAAGATGGCCCCAAAAGGGCCCCTAAGGGCGAGGAAACAGTCCAAGAGGAAGAGCAAGAGGAAAGGACGGAATCAGAGGCCCGAAGCGGCTCCGAGAAGCCTGCAGCTCAGCGCGGGCTCGTCTGCGGACGCCCTTGCCCCCCCAGGAAAAACATATCACCCCGAGGCCCGGTGATGTTTTGTGGGCCGCCATCTCAAAGCCCCACGGCCAGCTTTTGGGTCGAGGAGGAGGAGGGGCAGGAGGACGAGGAGGTGATCAACAGGAACCAGAGGAGCAGGAGCAGCAGGAGGACGAGGAGTTTGAGCAAGGGGTCAAGGACGGAATGATAGGCCAGAAGCGGCTCCGAGACCAAACCACGCTGAGCTGCAGGGTTTTCGGAGCCGCTTAAGGCCTCTCATTTCGTCCTTGTCCCCCTGCTCAACCTCCTCGTCCTCCTGCTCCTGATTCTCCTGGTTTTGCTCCTCTTCTTCCTCGACCCAAGAGCCGGCCGTGGGGCCTTGAAAGGGCGGGCCGAAAAAATGTCACCGGGGGCCGAGCTGCAGGCTTCTCGGAGCCGATGCGGCCAAAAAGAGGCTGCCCTGCAGGCTGTCACGGAGCCGCTGCGCCAAAAGAAGGACACCTTGTCGGTTTAACTACTAGGTCGCTTTGTCGGCTGATTTCGGGCGCGTCTTCATCGTGG